ACTATAACTATAAAAATTATCATGCAATTATGAAGGTGAAATAAAGCTATATCCAGGCAAGGCAAACATAAAAGATTTTTAAAAACAAGACATAAATTGTAAAAATATTAACTAAATCACAATGGCTAGAGAATCAATAATAGTAGATAAACCTGAGCACATCAGGCAAGACATCACCACCTAGAAACTAATACAATGAAAGTAGTTTTTAGAATAACACAGAAATAGAGAACAAAGTTACCAATAAAACAAAAAATAAGAAAACAAAGAATGAAATAAATAAATTAATAAACCAAGCAAAAGCATAGCAAAATGACTGTCCCAAATCGACAAAGATCAAAATCATTGGATGTCAAATGATTAATGGCACCAATCAAAAAACAGAGTGTAGCAGACTGGATTATAAACAAGACCCATCCACATGCTCACTACAAGAAACACACATTAATAAAAATCAAAAGATGGCAAAAAATCTACGAAGCCAATGACAATCATATAAAAGCAAAAGTAACAATAATAATTTCTGATAAAATAGACTTCAAGGCAAATAACAAATTGTGAGAAAAGAATGGATACTACATAGTGAGTAAAACAATAATAAGAGAAAATATAACTTTAATAAAGACATACACACCTAATGAAAGACCCTCAAAATATATCAATGAAATGTTCACAGAGCTAAGAAGAGGAATAAACAGCTTGATAATTGTAGAAGACTTAAGCACACCACACTGAGGAGAGGCAGATAATCAAGAAGAAAAACTCAATAAGAAAACAGAAGAGTCATAAATATAACTGACCTGCTAGGCTTCCTAGATTTACATAGCACAGTCCTCCAAACAAAAACTCATGCAATTTTCTCCCGCAGGCATGGTACATACTCTAGGAGAGATGACAGTTTAGGACACAAGGCAAGCTTCAACAAATTGGAAACCATTGAGAACCTACATTCCATTTTCTCAGATCACTATGTTAAAAATCTGGAAATTAACAATAGAAAAACAAAGAGAAACAGAAAGATAACACATGGAGACTGAACAGCATGCTAGTTAGAGTAGACTGGATTTCATCCATATCGAATGATGGATGAAATTAAGAAATTCCTGGAAAAATGATAACAATAACATAGCATACCAGAACTTTAAGAACACAGCAAAAACAGTTATCAGAGGACAATTAAGAGCAATCAATGCAGACATGAAAAATGAGGAGAAATCCAAAATCAACAACTTCACACAATACCTTCAAAATCCAGAAAAAGGGAAATAACATAAACTCTTCAACAACACAAGAAAAGAAATCATTAAGCTTATAGTGGCAATGAATGAACAGGAAACAAGAAAAACAATGAAAAACCAACTAGACAAAAATTTGGTTATTAGAAAGAATTAACAAAAATGACAAACTGCTGGCAAATGTAATAAATGAAAAGAAAGAAGATGAAAACATCTAGAATTAGATATAAAGAAGGTGATAGCACAATACATTCAAATGAAATAAACTGAGTAATAACACAGCACCATGAAAGATTGTACTCCAAAAAATTGATAATCTAGAAGGAATGGACAGATAATAGAAATACACCATGTACCCTAATCAAAGCAGAAAGGTGTAGAAATCTGAACAGACCCATAACAAAAGAAGATAGAGGTCATCAAGAAACTTCCAAACAAGAAAAGCCCAGGACCAGATGACTTGACAGATAAATTCTACCAAGTATTAAGTGAAGATCTGTAACCAACACCACACCGACAATTCCAAAATAGAAAAAGGGACAGTAAATTTCATTTTATGAAGACAGCATGACCCTGATTCCAAAGTCAGTCAAAGACCCCACAAAGGCAGAAAAATGCAGACCAATATCACTCATGAGCATAGATACAGACTTTCTCATCAAAATTCTGATAAATAATAAATCATGACAGCGGGATTTATATGAAGGATACAAGTGGTTCAAGATTCATAAAATCATCAATGCAATGCAGCACAAGATAAAGAATAAGAACCACACGATCATAGTAAATGCAGAAAAAGCATTTGACAACATCCAGCACTATATCTAATAAAAACTTGCAATTATATAGGAAGAGGAATAGATTGCAAATCCTGCATCATAATAAAGATTATATATGAAATCCCACTGGCCAACATCAGGTTCAGTGGGGGAAAACTAAAAGCTTTTCCTCAGAAAATGGGAACTAGACAAGGGTGACATCATTATTTTTATTCTACATACTGCTGAAAGTCTTAGCCAGAACCATTAAACAAAATAATAATAATAATAATTAATTAATTAATAATGGAATAATATTGAGCAAGGAAAAAGTGAAGGTCATCCTATATTTATTTCATAGCACTTTATGTAGAGAGAACACCAAGGTCTCCACACTAAAAAAAAACCAAACCAAAAAACTGTTGGAAACAATAGAGGGATTTGATAAAGAAGGAAGATACATGATTAAGGAACAGAAATCAATTGGATTCCTATGTAACAGCAAAGTACTATGAAAAACCATTAAGAAAGCAATACCATTTCCAACAGCCCCATAAAAGATGAAATAACTAGGAATAAAGCAAATGAAAAAATCAAAAGATCTGTGTCAAAGATAACTATAAAATTTTATTACAGGAAACTAAAAGAGAGCTGTACTATTACATTTCTAATCTTACCACCTTAGTGGGATTTTGTTTTTGATTGTTTTCTGCTGCTGCTCCCAGCTGGAAAGCACAGGAGGAAAGTATGCACAACAACAATAACTGATACAGGGGATATAGGGAATACAG